TGCACAAGAAAGTTGTGGACAACTGTAATCAAGAGAATATTTATCAGCCCCGTAACTGTGTTCTAACTTACCAAAGAAGATCATCATTAAATAGTTAACGAAAACAAAATTCATAATTCAACCGACGCGAATAAGAAACTGTGAAATTGATGATTGGACAATGCTTGGGCAAGAAAATGTTCACATTAATTCCTAAATCCTAAAACTAGAACTGAGGTAGACATACCAATATTTGGGCCTTTTGGGTAGAGTTGACACACTCCCTGTTCTCGGAAGTATCTCATCAATCTATATAATATTACATTCCCGGCTTAAGCAACTGCTATAAACATGAGATTGCATTCTTCAAAAATAAACCCCACACCATCTGCATTCCCACCACTCAAACAAATCCCAAACCACAATCAAATGCACTCTACCAAACCAAAAATCAAAACCCACCTCAAAGATTTTGTTGGTTGAATGTGAAAATTTGCAACTTCTGATTACAGACAGTGACATTGACATAAGCCATTGCAAATCGGTTCCCAAATAAAATCAGAAATTCATAACAATTCAAATGTAAAGTGAGAGAGCATTGAAATTACCTGATCTCAAAAACCCTAAATTGGGCAAGCCGAATTGAACTTGGGAATTGATAGATAGAAGAAGGAGCTGAATTACTGAAACAGAAAAAAAAAAAGAAAAGAAAAGATAATCGTAACATTTGGAAAACAAACATTTAACTGAGAAAACAACTACAAAACTCGAACAGTCGGGAAGTGAGATTACAAATTTGCCCCCTTTGTGGATGTCGAGGAGGGTGAGAGCTGGGCTTGCGAAGCAGAGGGGGAGGGAGGGAGGGAGGTAGGGAGGGGTTTGGTTCCTCTTTTTTGAGTTAATTATAAGATGCCCCTTCACTTGTAGTGATTGTTCCACTTTAGTCCTCAAACCATTTCAATCTAAACTAAGTTGGTCTCTCTTGTAGTGGTTGTTTCACGTTGGTCCTCGAATTTATATTCCGATCTAAACGAAGTTGGTTTCTAAACTTTAAATTGGTGTTAAATGAGAACAACAGTGATGTCAATTACAAAAGTTGTCGAAGTTCATTGCGGGGATAAACTCAATTGGAACATTTGTATGGTACTAAAACAATGAACAACAAACAAGCAAGGATCAACTACGTAGACAAAATTCGAACATACCAAGTGAAGTGGGAGTGGAAGAATTAAGAAAGCAAATAGATAGTAATTAAATTGAATGAAATGTTTTGCTACCACTTTTCTCAATAGCCACCACCTCTATCCTCTCGAGCCTAAAGCTCTTGTCGGACAGCTTAATGGTGGTGGCCATCTCCACATTTGCCAAACGTCCTCATATGGCAAATATTGTTGCAACTCTGTCAAAAAAATCAAAGAGACAACTTATTTTTTGCAAAATAGATAAAACTCTAACTACAAAAAAAATGAGCACTGCGCACAATAAATTATCTGTGCCCTTTGAGGTCAAAAAGCACCAACAATTGTGCTCATAGACCAATAGCAACACTGCAGCTACCATCTTTGTGTCTGTGCCCTCTATGGGCGTCACCATTACTAAAAGGGCACAATAGACAGTTTGGTGCTCAAAGAGGCAGGCACAAATAAAGGCCTTTTTGTGTCCTTGTTCTGACAACTTGTCAGATGACCTTCTCCATCCACGTTTGCACTATTTTGTTATTGTGCCCAGTAGGTTCTATTAAAAAAAAAAAAAAATAGAAATGTAAAATTTTGAAATAAAACCAAAAGTTTAAAATTTTCATAAAATCAAAGATGCCAATCTCGACTGTAAAAAGCAATCCAATAGTAGAAATGGAATGTCTATAATGAAACTACATAAATATTCCTCATAAATAACATGTTTACAAGTGTTCAAGATAAAAGACCAACAAAATAATGAGATTTTCCTATCAATGTATCCATGCATTCCTACATATAGCCACCCATAACTGATTTTACCCTTTTTCCCAGCTCGGTGGATTATGCAATCACCTTCCTGAAATCCAAACCAAAGGAAAAATGAAAAAGGGAAAGGATCACATATTTCCAGTGATGTTACCCAGACATCCATTCAACATTGAGAATTCATTAGCTCTACACATATATGATAACAATAAGAGTTTCATTTTCTCCGACAAAAAAGAGAACATTTTACCATTGGTACAACTAAATGTCCAATGTACCTTAACAAGACAAGGAAGCAAATCCATATCGACACTGTGAACCATAATTGTAGAAGGAAGTTCATCCTCTTCCTGGAAAAGAAAGAAATTTTGTAAATATAAGTTTCATAAAAAATAAAAAAATAGTTATTTTATACATAATAAGAGCAAAACATTAATAGGACCTCCAATAATGTTGTACATATTTCAAGCAAATAAAAACCAAACTTATTAATGTATGGTACATTAAACACTTAAAAAAATGAGAAATAGCACGAAGGTAAAGTACACCTCTACAACACAATATATTCCCGTCAATCCTGTAAAAATATGTATAATCCAAAACCAAACATTATATACAAATAACAAGTCATAAAAAAATAATAAATTGAAAAAACTTCTGTAATAACAGAAGCAAAATTTTCATCAAATGGTTTAAGGCAAGGGCCATGTCTTTCTGATCCAACGGACAAAGTTGAGCAAACTAGAAAACAAGAAGCAAAATGTGTGATGTTTAGGGGAACTAATGAACAAACATTGATATTTGAATCTACAAATGCCTCTGCTAAACTGCGATTTACTACTTCTAAATCTACTACAAATTTGTACTCCTAAATCACAATCAATTAGTAAGGCACATGAAAATTCAGGGCATACAGATAATCAAGTTTGGGAGGAATCACATGAGTCACAAAATTGAAATACACTGAGGTTTTTTTTTAATTTTTCAGTGCAGGGAGCTGGTTTTATACCTTCACAACCTCGTGTTCAACATACATAGTCAAAATCTTTCATAAGAACACGAAATCAAGAAAAGGGTAGGAGTTTTACTTTAGTCACTTTATAGCTTAAACAGAATCCTAATGGTGATGGTGTAGATTATTACAGTCACCTGAAAGTCAACTAAAGCCTAAAGATTCCCGTACACAAATACAACTCATAACTATATTCAGATTGCGTGTGCATGTCAAATCATAAAATCCTCATAGCAAAATCACAAAGAAATGGTATTATAGCAGGAACTGTTTTTCAGTCTCCAGATATTTTAATAGGTCACAGAGCGATGAACTGATGTCTCATGCAAATAACTTCTAAAGTCAACAGGTCACAAGTCCACCAAACCACATTGTACGCAAGATACACATACCATCTTAAGGCAAAAACGCTTACTGCTTTTTAATCACTTTTATGTAGATTAAGTAAAACAAAAAATCAGATACTGCACATATAGTAGTAAAAAACAGTCTTTTAACATTACTAGGTAAAAATTAGCATACCATCCAATGATGGGCACGGTGCCAACATGAAAAAGAACTGGCTTCCATTTGTATTCGGACCAGCATTCGCCATCGATAAGATGCCAGCTCCAATATGCTTCAACTCTTTTTTTATCTCGTCCTCTTAACTTTTCCCTGAAACTCATTATACAAAACAAGTTCTTCACTATGGTTCTCAAATCTAATTAAAATCGGGGGTAAAAAAAATAAAGCAAATTTCAATACATTATGGGTAAATTCAAGGGAATTTTTTTTTTTTTTTTTACCCATAAATGGATTCGCCACCCTTTCCTGCCCCGGTGGGATCACCACCTTGCCCTATGAAATCCTACCCCAATTCCAATTTAACCGTCAGTAAAAAATATATATATATATCTAATATTTATATACACTACAAAAGCAGAAAATATGAAACCTGGATGATTCTGTGAAATTACATTGTCGTAATATCCTCTGCAAGCGAGCCCGATGAAGTTCCTGCAAGTCCTCGGCGAGTGTTTGTAATAAAGCTGCTATTGTTAACGATTTGAAAACACAAATAATGTCAAAGATACAAACTTTATGGATTGAATTGTCCGTTTGGTTACTAAGAAAGTGAAAGAAAATTGAAGGGAAAGTTTGGGAAGAAGGAGAATTTACCTCGATGGTGAAGATGGCAATGGTGGTTTCTAGGGCGGCCTCCGGCGACCCTCCTTTTTTGCTTGCCCACATCTTTCTGACTCGAAGATTCTCCTTCATCAAATCCAGATCAATGTAGCTTGAAGAAGGCAATAGTAGGAAAGACAATCAAATAGATCTATATATTTTTTGAAAATCAAATCAAATAAGAGAGAATTAGAGAGAGACCGAATCTGGGAGTTATGCTTTGGATTGGTTCATCAAAAACCACCAGATCGGGAAAAGGAAAAGAGATGGACCGAATCTAGGAAGGTAGAGAGAGAAAGGGAGTCGGAGACAGAGATAAAGGCGAGAGAAAGAGAGTCTGAGGGAGGCAGAGTAGAAGATGAAAGTAGGGAGAAGGATAGATGAGAGAGAAGGAAAGAGAGATGAGAAAGAAAGAAGAGGAAAGAGAGATCATTTTTACCTCTTGCATCGAGGTCCAATTCCGGCAGCCTTTGCCGGAAATTGGCAGGAAAGCCCACGATCACCGTTGCTTAGATGTGAAATTGAGGAAATTTGGCTAAGAATTTGGAGAAACAAATTTGGGAGTTGGAAAGAGGACGACAAGAGGATTCTAGAGGTATAATTAGACAGTCGTTGGTGACGGGTGGACAGCGGCTTTGTTGCGTGAAAGAGGAGGGAGAGGGGGAGGGAGGAAGAATGGAAGACTGCTGAGGAGGACAAGGAGTAAAGTTTAAGAGAGGGGGGAGAGAGGAAAGGCGTGAACTCTACTTTTAATTTAAATATATTACATCGGAGAGCACGAAAACTCTTATTGTGCTTTCGTAAATTAATAAACAAATCTCATTTCTGACATTTAAAGGTGACACAGCAAGTAGGCACAAATACACTTCATTTTCGGCACAAACTAGTGTTCCTTTTGCTTAGAGAGCACATATAAAATAGTTTTGTGTTCAATGATACTCAAAACGCACAGATTTGTATTTGTGCTCAATGAAATTGAAAAGGACACAAATCAATTGTGTTCTTAGCCCACTTTTCTTGTAGTGTCTCATGTCATCCACCCAGAATGAGATTTAAACTTAGGTGAAAAAAGAGCGAGTATATTATTCTAGCCAACAAACTTATCGAACTAATACAAAGGAGCACTTATTAAGATCCAAGACTTGCATGGCCACAATAAAAAAACACAAATTTCCACATTTTCAAAAGGTCCAAAACTTAGGCCTCAAGAAACAAATTCAAACGATCGAAATCAATAGCTTCTTAGTAACCAACAAATTTTCAGTGTTGAGCACGAAGCCCTCGGTTTAGATTGACCAAACGAGTCGAAGTATCCATCTGAGACCCCCTCGCAGATGAACTCCTCCCTGACCCTTGATACCTTGTGTTCTGACCCGTCCCTCGATACTGCCCAGTCCCCGTTCGGTCCCTAGAATAACCGCTTCCTCCGCCAGTTTGGCCATATCCCAACGTTCTATATCCTGAACGCCCGGAGGAGCCACCACCCTGCCTTCCTTGAGCGAAAGAAAGGTTCTCTTGCCACCTTCCACTCAGAGCAGGTGTCCCGGTACCATAGTCCTGGCTGTCTCTACGCCTCATAGGCAGGTCTACTGCACCACCGCCTATCTTCAACTCGGTTGCCCTTTCGTTACTTTCTGCAAGGATCGACAACTTCTCAGTCAATTGGAAAGCCAGAGCCTGTAGTCTAGTGTGCTCGATTTCATTGAACACAATGCAGCGCGTGGGCTGATCCCAACTCGCTCGCAAATCATCGTTTATCATCATCTTGCTGACAATGCAATGCGCATGAGCCTCTGAGAGCTCGAACATCTTCGTGAGCTGTTCCAAGCTTAGAGTCTTGTATGATCGCGAGTAGGTCAAAAGGTAGGTCCTCAGAGCCTCCTCCTTGGTCTTAGCCTTGAGCATCTCGAGAATGCTTTCACGTTTCCTGAGGAGCTTCCAGACATGAAGGGAGTTGACAACATTGAAGGCCTTTTGGAAGTCGCCTTTGCTGAGGGCTCTTGTAGCTGCCACTACATGATCCCTGACATTTTCAGGGGGTCCTGTGAACGTTTGCTTCTCGTTCATTTCGAGCAACCGCCTGAATGTCTTGCTTATCACTCTGCGCTTTGTATCGTGGGCGTTAGTTGCCATATTAGGCACTTCCAGGAGCATGGCACATATCAAATGCACCGCCTCCAGGAGCTCCGGGTTTATGTGCATATGGTAAGGCATCTGCCTCCTTCTCTCCAGCCTTTCCTGAAATTTTGTAACATAATTCATGTTATTCCTCGCCTTGGTACAAGTAAGATCTCGTGGAAATTTCATGCAGTTGTTAAAAAAGCATTCGACAACATATGATCTCCAGTTAGTTCTACAAAAACCAAATCATAAACAAAGTAATATGATACATGAAAACAATAATGAAAACAAAAGCACTGGTACCTGCTCTGGAGTTTTCTCATGATATCTACTTTGGGAGACACCTTGGGCAAGCAACTCTTTTACTCTTCCACCTGAATACAGTTCAGAAAGGCAGCTATGTCCTTCGGGGATCAATCCAGTCCGAAATGCGCTCAAACCAAGTTGTGCCATGGCCCTATTAAAAAGAATCTGGGTTGAAATGTCCATATGCTGAATACTTTCTTGCAGGTGACTCATTAGCAGCAAGTCCCGCGCAATAGAAAACTCATCTAGGAGAGCATGATGGTAAATGTCACAAAGCATTGCGCGGGCTTTAGTCCGATCATCACCATACTTGTATATCAAGGAAACCAAAAGATCCATCAAGGCCCTACTGCTCTCAGTAAAAGTTGGTTTCCGAGGAACGAGCTCAGGAGTTTCAACAAATGCAGGTGGGCCGTGAGTTTCCTCTGCTGCTTTAGCCTCCTGCTGGCCTTCACCACCAGCATCAGCGTCATCCTGTGTCTGCTCAGCCAATTTTCTCATGGCATCATAAACTTCTTGCGGTTTATAATACACAAGTTCGACCCGCCTTAGCGCTACCTTTGCAGCAGCTTTAAAATTCCCAACCTTTTCCAGGTACTCTTGAACATTTTGAGCAAGAATAAAAAACATAGGCTCGTCTCGAAGTCTTTCAATGTACTCGCGCGTGTGAGGGTCAATGCATTGCAAGCTCTTGAAAAACTCAGTATCGATCCTTTCTACAAAAGCCACTAAGTTTCCCCAGACTCTGATCGTGCCATCATAATCCGATCCTTTCTGGGATTCATTCTCATCAGGCTCAACCATGTCATCCACCGAAATGTTTGGATACTGCACAAGAATATCAAGTATAACAAGCATGTTCTGCACACACTTTTTCCACACATTTATAGGCATGTGCCCGCTGAGTCCTGGGTTGACATCAAACTGAGCAGACACAAGGCTAAAAAGAATCTCGAGCTTCTGGGCAGGCGTTTTAGCAACTTTTGTCAAGAACGTCAGCTGCTCCACCTGCTCAAACCTCCCTGTCCCCTTCCTTCCCCGCACAGCCACAACCTCTTTGAATTTCTTGTTGATCATATCCCACGAGATTTCGCTAGGATCTCTCATGAATTGCTTGTCCATGAGCTTATCCTTCTTGCTCAATTTCTTCTCCCAACCATTCTCATTATTACCATCTTCCTCCCCTTCACTACCCGAAATTGGAATTTCAGTTGGATCAATTTCAGAATCTGTTTCTTCCTCCTCTTCGTCTGGCGATTCTTCTCCCCCTTCCTCCTCGCTCTGCTCGGGATTCTCCCTATACTTTTTAATCAACTCCTCGTACTGCTTATTGTTCTTCTTCAGCCTCTGCTTCATCGCGTTCAACGCCTTGGCATTGCTACTGCTCATCTTCTTCTTAGCATCCTTGTTTGCCAGCGCTTGGGCCAAAAAATCCTCGAACAACACAAGCGCTTTGATGTAAAGAGAAGGCACCTTTTCGGACTCAGTCACGCGCATCACCTTCTCGAGCTGTTTATTGATCTTGTCAAAACAGTCCTGCAAGCTCACCCAATCATTTATGTTCTTTGCATTCTTTATCTTGTCAACCGTGGCATTCATCTCATCAAAGCGTTTGTCTCTCACGGATCTAACAACACGCTTCTGTCCATCAGAATCATCGCTATCACTATCGTTAATGTCCTTAAGGTATTTGTTATCGGTTTGCTTGGTGGCAGGATCACCGCCTGTAACTTCAGCCTCTGAATCGTAATCACTATCATCCTCCGAATCGCTTCCAGTCTAAAACAACACATGAAAAATTAATTTAAAAAAAAAATACAAGAAACTAACTAGCACATTATCATATGCTTCTAAGATTTCATCAAAATGTAGAATCCAGGAATTATGAACAAAAAAAATACCGGATTCCAGAATTTCGATGCCATTCTGTCTTAGGAGAAGATCACAACACAAGAATCTGTTTGGTTTACGCCGAAACGGGTTGAAAAATCACCCTCCTGTTCATTACAAGCAACCAATTCATGAAAATCGAAAATAATGAATCACAAGAGTAATGAATCTAAAATTTTCGAAACCTTATAAAACGTTGCATGCATGAATCCGAAATACGTAACATTAACAAAATGCGTGAACAGAGTAAACGGACTGCATGGTTTCGATATATGATTCGCGAAAACCGGGAACAAATTAAATCACATGCATATAAACAGAGAGAGAGAATTGGAATCTGTCTTACAGTGGAGGAAGATAGATTGAGATTCGGTAGCAGATGAGAAGTTGGAGAGAGAGAGATGGTTAAGGTTTTTTTTTTTAACCGCTTAGAGAGAGAAAATGGTGGCGAGGAGGGTTGAAATTAACGGTAGAATGTGGAAGATGCAGAGGATTCGCAGTTTTTGGTTGAATTGGCTTTTTATATATAAGCACTTTGATCGGAGTGCTTTTTTTTTTTTTTTTTTCGATTAATTGACAGCTTCTTTTTTTGCACCTTGGCAAGAATTGGTAATAAAGTTTATTACTTGGGTTGCAAGTTTATTCTCTTTTTATTTATGACTTCTCATATGCTTTTGTCGTGCTCACGAAAGCATTCTTAATTTTTTCTATTTAATTTTTTTTATTGTCTATTTTTTACTAATTTGGCTTCAATCTCTTGGGATATAGAAATTCCTCGTCTGAAAATTGCCTTAGAAAAATCACAAATAATTCCCTCTAAACTCTTTTTCATATTAAATATACATAAAGCACCATTTTGTTGAGTAAACCATGTATTTATATATTGATAGGCAGCAAGGGGTGAGCTGCCATGGTGGGTAGAATATTGCTCTTTATTCCACTTCTGTCTTGAGTTAAAACCATTTCCCGCCCTTTAATATGAGTAATGCTAAGTAGACCAAATTTGTAAATCATATGATGTGTTATCAATAAGAAATAAGTTAAGTAATAAGTCAATTATCAACAAGCACATCATATAATTTACAAAATTTGGTTTAAAAAGTTGGTATCCCTGTCATTATCCCTTTAATATAGTTTTGATGTGATAATATCGTTTGTAATAAAAAATATTAAAAAGTATGATTTATATACACCTTAAGAAGGAGAATATGAACTCGAATGGATAAGAACATGTCTACTCTAACCATGTGAGAGATATTATAATGATTCCAAGATTTTACTGCAATAATCTTCCTCGACCACCTCACTTGAACTGTAAAGTGATCCATTTTTTCTTTTCCAATTTGCCGAAATTTTTTGGACAAATTTCTTAAATCTGGGGAGTGGAGTGATTTTCGAATTAATTAAGGTTGATGACTCTGACTTCGGAGTCGATGGAGCTGCTCTCCAAAGGTTTTCATTTTGAGAAAATGTGAGATCCTTTTTTCATATGAGGTATCAATTTAAATAATTCAGATTACACCAAAACATATTAATTGATAGAAAAAGAGAAAAGGGTTTCAGTTCATGTCAAATTCTTTCCATTTGCAAAATCTAGTCTCCTCATCGATTATCTAAACTCAACAAATTCAATTGCATAAAACCCTCATAACTTTATGTGCAATTTCATCCTTTTTTTATTTATTTATTTTTATTTTTTTTTTGCTAAGAAATAAACTTTCTTAAGATAAGGGGAATCCCTGGGAACACCTGGAACCCATACAATCAAAGGCGAACACTTGGTGTGCCTCACTAGGGAGCACTCTATCCCAAATAAACATGTGACCAACATAAGCAATAGCATCTGCGAGGAAGTTAGCTTCTCTAAAAACATGTTGCTATTGAATAGAATTAAAAGAGATTGTTAGCCGTCCTCAACAATAGTTCTGAGCCATTTCATTCAATCTTTTATCAATATTCAAACCAATTAGTTACAAAGCACCAAAAAATTGAAATTGTGTGGTTTCAAAAATTGGAATCCCCGCGTGAACCTTTTTTTCATATGAAAATTTTCGAAGACGATGAAAAATTTGAAACAGGTGCCTCTCCCTTTTTCATACGCAAAAAGAAAAACAACAAAAAACTCAGTAAGAGTGAAGGGGAGTGAACAAGCGAACAATCAAGAGAGATGGAGAAAGTAAGGGGATGTGGAGGAGAGAGACAAGAGGGGAAGAAACATAAGGTTTCATGCGAGAATTTTCTCTAATCTAATCATTGCGCGGAATTATTGTGTTTTGGTGTAAAAAGGATTATTTAAATTGATAACTTAATCTACTTAAATTTTTATTTTTGATATTTTTAAAGAATTAAATTTTCGTGCCACATTTTTAAAGATAATATTATTTTGTCCACATGACGCAATTGTGTCAATAAAACATGTGGAACCTACATTTGTCATATCATCACTTAATGACCAATTTAACAGATTGATTAACGAATGTATAACAATGCAACTAAAACACAACTTTGTGTATGAGATCGCAATTGCACTCAAATTTGAAGACGCAAATTGTAATTTACTCAAAATATTTAAAAAAAAAAAAGGAAAACTAATGAAAAGGGCTTGAAAACTTTGAGTTTTAAATATAAGGACAAAATAAAGGGTAAAGTGAATAGTACCATGATTAACTTTTTAGTGTAAAAATGTGATTTTTTTGTTAAAATAAACTGTACCGAAAATTTTTCGTTGAAGTTTTAAAAAAAAAAATCATGGACTTTAAGGTAATTTTGCACAAATTTTTGTACTTCTTTTTTTCTTCACATTCCTCATTTGCATGTCATCAAGTGTCCCTGCTTTTCAAAAGCAAAAAAGCCCGACGTTTTTTCTCTCACATTTTACTCCAACTTCTCTTTTATATATAGCTTTTCATTTTAAATTTTTACGAAGTAATGTTACGTAACCAACTTTTTAGATCAAATTTGCAAATCATGCAATGTGTCATTAATTTTCATAAACACGTTAATCAATAATTAAGTAATAATCTAAGCAGCAACAACTACGCCATATGATTTATAAAATATAGTTTAAATAGATAGTCTTTTTAACGTTACCCTTTTTCATTAACAATTACATCATATGATTTACAAATTATAGTTTAAATAAATAATCTCCTTAATACTACTCTTTTTTATATTTACATACACATAATATATGAGCTCCATCTAGTAATACTTAGTCCATGACAATCCGCCGAACAAATAGAACATTGGAGATTTGTAGTTAACGTGAATTAGAAATATCCACCAACAACTTGCCTAACCTAGGATTGCAACTAATGTATTGATATCCAACTTTTTTGGGTTGTTTTCTTGCTCACTATCTTCAAGTGGTGGTAATACTCATCGGATTAGCAGTAATAAATAGGTGGTCAGCAAAAATACTTTTTTTATTTTTTATTTTTTTTATTTTAAAGAATTTGATATCCAACTTTTTTTTTATGATTATTTACTTTTTAAAAAAGGGATCGGCTAGAGGTTTCCCAACAGCAGTCCACTTTTTTAGGGGCCAAGAAAGATTCACATATGCATTTTAGCTTCCTCCTGACCACCATCGTGTAATTCACTAGCAACATAAATCGAACCTAAGACATGCCGTGTGGAAACTACCCTGAAATTCGTCCCCAACCACTGGCCATTCCATGGTGATATTTTTTGGGGTAAATGACAAAAAACTACCTCAATTATTAGTGTCACGACACTTTCATATCTCATCTTTTAAAATTGACAATGTGATACCTCATCTAACGAATTTGTGCCAATGTCAGACATTCGTCAATTTTTCTATTAATTTTTCTGTTAAATGCTGATGTGACCAGAGACAGGACCCACTCACTAATCCAACTGGATTAAAAAATAATTAAATATATTTTTAATAATTAATATTAGAAAATTAAAATAAAATTATTTTTTTATATAAAATTGTGGGATCCACCCTCTCTCTCCTCTCACTCTATCTTGCCTCTCTCTGGACACCTGCATCCCCAAAACCTTTCCTACTCGTTCCCCCTCCCCAACCTTCCTCCCCCTCACCCTTTCTTCCCCTCGCTCTTTGTCTTCCCCAAACTCAAAACCACATCCACCCAACCCAGATCCCACCCCCACTCTTGTCTTTTTCGTCTTCCCCAAAAGGTTTGGACCACACCCAGATCTGACAATTTGTCGACCTGGTGTACATCGTCCTTTCGTTTGACACCACCAACGTGTTCACGGCATCCTCGTGCACCTTGACCGACTCGACGCAGCATCCACCCTTTCTCTCTCTTTCGCCTTTCTCTCTGGACACCTGCATCCCCAAAACTTTTCCCACCCGTCCCCCATCCCCAACCTTCCTCCCCCTCACCCTTTCTTCCCCATGTTCCCCGTCTTCCGCAAACTCAAAACCAGAACCACCTAACCCAGATCCCACCCCGCCCCTGTCTTCTCCATCTTCCCCGAACAATTTGGACCACACCCAGATTTGACAATCCGTTGACCCAGTGTACACCGTCCCGTAGTTCGACACCGCCAATGCATTCACGGTGTCCTCATTCGACGCAATAGAGATCCGAGTCTTGCCAAATCTTCAGGCTCTTGTCCTAGGAGACTGAGTAAATCAGGGCGTTGTTGACGGCGATGCCGATGACAACGTCGACATGTTGGATCCAAAGGCATTTCTCGTGCCCCGATGCGGCGTAGAGGAGGTTGTGGTTGATGGCAAGGCAGGTGATTGAGAGGGAGGGGCGGTGAAGCAGAGGTAGGAGATGGAGAGGTCGAGGGGGTCTAGAGGGGAGAGTTTCTGGATGGAGAGGATAAATGGCAGCGTTTAGAGGGAGAGGTTGCGCAGAGAAGACGGGAGTAGGGGGAAGAAAGGGTGAGGGGGAGGAAGGTTGAGGGGGACAGGTGGGAAGGGTTTTGGGGATGCAGGTGTCTAGAAAGAGAGAAGAGAGATAAGCGAGAGAAAGAGGAGAGAAAGGGTGGATCCCACAATTTTATATAAAAAAATAATTTTATTTTTAATTTTTTAACATTTAATTATTAAAAATATATTTAATTATTTTTTAATTTAGTTGGATTAGTGAGTGGGTCTTATCTCTGGCCACGTCAGCATTTAACAGAGAAATTAGCAGAAAAACTGACGGAGGTCTAACATTGGCATAAATTAGTAAGATGAGGTATGACATTGTCAATTTTAAAAGATAAGGTATGAAAGTATCGTTAGACCCATAATTGAGGTAGTTTTATGTAATTTACCTTATTTTTTGATACATATTGGGGAATCTCAAACGTGGGGCCACATTTTCTCATATTTCCAATCACTTCTCCCCTGGAAATGTCAATTTCGGAACCGGAGAATAAAAAAAATAAAAAATCAATTTCCGAATTATTCACCAAAAAAGAAATCTTTTAATATTCCTTTTTCTTTTCATAGATCCGATTTATTTTCCACCAAAAAATAAGAATAAAAATACATAAATACCTCTTATTTTGCTGTTTATGATATCAAAAGTCAGAGATATCAATCTCTCTCTTCTCTGTCTCTGAAGTGAAATCGAAAACATGCAGATTTTTGTGAAAACCCTAACCGGGAAGACCATCACTCTCGAGGTTGAGAGCAGCGACACCATCGACAATGTTAAAGCCAAGATCCAGGTACTCTCTCCCTCTAATTTCTGTTTTCTTCTTGTTTATTTATTCGCTCCATAATTTAGGGTTCCGATTTCTGGTCGATTGGGGTTTTTAATTTATTACGATTTTGTGATTTGCTTCAATTAGTATTTTGTATCAGTGTTTGTGATTGTATACGTATATATGTGTGTGTGTATGTGCTCCTAGGTTATATTTTTATACTGGATTTAGTTTTGTTTCTTGAAAAGAGGAGTATTTAGGGAGTTATTCTCTGTTGGAACAATTCTATAGCTAGGGTTAATGTTTCTGATTTCAGCTATTGATGCACTCGGTTTTTGGGGGTTAAAAGTTATTGCTCTTGCCTCTGTTTTTCTGGTTTTATCCTTCTTGGAAGGGAAAAGGACAATCGAATTTCATCATGCCGGCCCTTTTGAGAAATAACTGTGTAAACTAATTTGTGTGGCAGACTGGCAATCAATTCCACCCAGATTTCCATCATGAGGCTTCTTTTTGTTGATTTTGTTTTAATTTCGTCTCTCAGAGAAATTTTAAGCCGAATTGTAGCCTTTGTGAGATTGTTTATGAAAAAGACGATACTTTTATCTACCAAAGAACAAGTTTTCATCATGACAACATTGGCAATTTTTAGACTATTAATTATTTGTTTTCACGGACTTGTGGAAAAAACATTAGTCTCATATAGAGATCAGTGGCAATTTTGAAGGCGAATCACATGTCAAAGTCATGATGTTTCTGTCCTTAATATTTTTTCATGATGTTTCTGTCCTTAATATTTTTTCTTTGTGCGCATTAAAGGGAGTTCCATTTGTAGTTGTGGGATTGCATGGTAACTTGTATATGTTTGTTTTCAGGATAAGGAAGGCATCCCTCCTGATCAACAGAGATTGATTTTTGCTGGTAAGCAATTGGAAGATGGTCGAACTCTCGCAGATTATAACATCCAGAAGGAGTCAACGCTTCACCTGGTCTTGAGGCTGAGAGGAGGAACCATGATTAAGGTGAAGACTCTTACTGGGAAAGAAATTGAGATTGATATTGAACCAACTGATACCATTGACCGGATCAAGGAAAGGGTTGAGGAGAAAGAGGGAATTCCTCCAGTGCAACAAAGGTATATTTTCCTTTTGTTATAAAATTCAATGTAATTAAAGTAATGTGTTATTTTAATTCAAGTCACTTCTGATTGATTATTTATATCTGCATCAGTTCAGTAGTATCATATGTTAATCATTTGAATTCTTTGTTTCTCATAAATATAATAACATTTTGGTTTTCATTCTTGTCGAATTTCTACTGTATGATGGATAAAAAAACGATGTACTGAATTATTCTATCTACGTGCTCTTGCTCTCATATTGGGCAGCGAGTAATGATTGTTCTAGCCTCCTTTTTGTCCTGTAATAATGCTGGAAGTTGTGCTTGTTCACTGTTTACTTTGAAATGCTCTCATTCATGATTTCGGCGTTCCACAGCACTTACAGTTGGTCATCTGGTGAGATTGTTCAGATTGATAGGATTCCCATGTTACAGTTGACTTTAGTTTCTATTCCTGTTTGGGATATTTTAGCTGCTGCTGCCGCCGCCGACTTGTGTTTTGACAACAGATAATACCCCGTGATTGTTATTCTGTATATATACGTCTGAGAACTTCAAAAGAAAATTTGGATTTGAAATTGCATTGCTTTCCTATTATGAAGTCTTGTGTCGCTCTTAGCTAATGGGAATAATCTTCTTAAGCAGTATCCGTCGCATTAATGAGTTAGTTAACAGTTCTGTTCATTGCTCTCCCGTTGACATTGTTTCAGCACAGGTTGAATGGTATACTTACTAAACATTTGAGGAAATGTTTTTCATGTTAACATGTCTTTTTGATGTTTTGGTCATTTTCAAGTTCTTAAATTTATTTCACATCGAGTACTGGCCAATTTTTTTCTGTGGCCAGTGTCTGTCAGTTGTAGTTCCACTTATTTGCTTCAAAGACCTAATTAATTTTATAAATTTTTGTAGGCTTATCTATGCTGGCAAGCAGCTCGGGGATGACAAGACAGCTAAAGAGTACAACATTGAGGGGGGCTCTGTCCTTCATCTTGTGCTTGCACTACGAGGTGGTAGTCAATAAATATTAGTTTTTTGGATCCGGCAAACTCTTTTGTTTAGGCCTTATCAAGTCTTGATGCCTTAACAAAAAATTTGAGTTGCATGTTATTTGTTGATAAATTCAAATACATGGCAGAAAGCCTGTTCTAAGCTGGTTACTGTGGACATAAGTATTTCTTTTACCCGCATACATTTGCCTCTCTCTCTCTCTCTCTCTCTCTCTCTCTCTCTCTCTCTCTCTCTCACAGAAACTCACACATGGTATCGTATCATTGGCACGGGATGCTATGGTGGCGGCGCACCTGTGCCATGGAAAGCCAGCTTGTTTGTAAGGGCCCTTGTTTCTGTTTGATGGTTCTACAAGCAAAGACATATCCAAAGATTTCGTGAGGAATGTGATGTGATGTGAAGCTTCTCAAAGGCTCTTAAGGGGGTCTGCGTAGAAAATTTTAGGAAGCAAAATGAACTGGTAAAATTGTGGCTTCTGAGACGAGAGATTGGTTTAATCAATGGTGCACTATCTGGCCATTCTTAACGATTCTCAGTTTAGGATTTAGGGTTAAGATTTTATTCACAGATTTGTTGGAAAACGCTAACCTTAATTTGAACCTTGTGCCCAAATGATGAATGCACGAGGAAATGTTGAGAATAATGTTGATGTAGCAATGTAAAACGGCTACTATCAATACTCTCTAGTAAGTTCTTTTTGCCAAAGAAAGAGCGAAAGAAGGCACATGCAAGGTCTCTTGTCTTATCAAGGTGAGATTCATTCTCAACCGTTGAGACTCTTAACCGTTTTTTCTTTTATTAGTAAGATGTGTTGTCTTGGTTTTGCAAAAGGGCGAATAGTCTTTTTATTGCAAGTATCACCCCACAGCCTTGATCACACCCTTACGAATGCGAGGCAAAAACAGAGAGCCCTATGTGTTCAAATGGAATTATTGATTACATGGGAGTAGGTTAAACCTCACAATGAGCTAGCCATATTAATTTGGTTCAAATTTGCATTCAACGGGAATCGAACGTGAGACCTCTCAGGTATAAATAAAAAGGAATACTACTAGACTGTAGTACTCAGTGGCTACAACGAAGGTGCTTTTAAAACCTTTGAAAAGTAAACCTCAAGCAACTCTACCTTTAGGACATCAAAGGCTGAAATTTACAAAATTGTGGGAAGTATTAACAAGGGTAAATTACACTTTCAAACCTTAGGTTTGAGGTCTATTTCAATTCCTTACAACACCTTCAAAACATTTCACTTTCATACCTTAACTACTGTTTTATTTCAAAATAATACATCCGTTACATTTTCTATACATTGATCCGTTAAGTGCTGACGTGGCTGCCATATATATGCTGCGTGGCTGCCAAATGTCTGCCAAGTGGCAAAAAAATGATTTTTTAGTTTCTTTTTAAAAAACCTAAATTTTCTCAAAAAAAAAAAAAAAAATTTGAAACCCATCCCTAAACCTGCAAGAGAAGGAGAAGAAGAAGAAGAAGAAGGAGCAAGAGGGGAAAAAAAAATAGTGCTTGAACCTACCTTCCTCCATATTTTTGAGATTTTCAGTGTGGGTAAGTTTCGAAAATACTTTGAGATGGGGAGTTTGAGTTTGAGATGATTGTTGGACTGGTTTTGTGGTAGATCCACCTAATCTCGGGTGGGATATTTGGGGGTAGGTGATGGGGGATTTTTGGGAGGGGTGATGGGGGATGGAAGAAAGGGGTGGCTCGGGTGGGATTTTGGGGTGGGTGATGATGTATGGGAGAAGGGGGTGGGTCGGGGAAGACGATTTTTGGGTTTTTTATTTTTCCTCCTCTTCGTCTAGGTTGTAGGTTTTTTGTGTTTTTGTTTTGGGGGGGGGGGGGGGGTGGGGAACGAACTGAGCTTGGCCTTTTTTTTTTTGTTTTTCTCTTTCTTCTTCTCCGTCTTCTTGTTGTTGTTGTTGTTGCAGGTTTAGGGATGTAGGGGTGGTTGTGGGGAGATGGGATGGGATGGGTTTCAATTTTTTTTTTTTCCTTCTTTCTTCTTCTTCTTCTTCTTGCAGGTTTAGGGGTGGGTTTCAAATATTATTATTATTTTTTAAAGAAAATTAAGGTTTTTTAAAAAGAAATTAAAAAAATTATTTTTTTGCCATGTGGCAGACATTTGGTAGCCATGTGGTAGCCACGTCAGCACTTAACGAATCAATGCATGAAAAATGTAACGGAGGTATTTTTTTGAAATAAAATAGTAGTTAAGGTATGAAAGTGAAATGTTTTGAAGATGTTGTAAGGAATTGAAATAGACCTCAAATCTGAGGTATAAAAGTGTAATTTACCCTATTAACAATTATAAGAAGCAAGTTAGTATTGAAAAGTACGTAGATTTAGGGCTGGTTTGGTATTGCAGTGCTTTGAAAAAAAGTTGCTTCTGTTGTGCTGTGAGAAGAAGCAGCTGTGAAATAAAGCAGCAGAGTGTTTGACCAACTTTTTTGTAAAAGTGCTTTTGAAATTTGAAAAAAAAAAAAAAAGCAGTATTATAGTGTTTGGTAAACTTTTATGTAAAACAGATGTAAAAAAAAGCCGGTTTTTCAAAGCTGGGTTTTGCAGCTTCTTATTTTTGGTTTTTTTTTTTCACTCAAAACTATGAATAAAAGCTGAAGCTGAATGTTTACTAAACACAAAAATAGCTCTCACCTTTTTTTGATACCAGCTTTTTTCAGAATCACCTCAATACCAAACCAGGCCTTAGTAAGGGGTTCTGTAAGCCTGCATTTGCAAAGCAACCAGTGTAAGTAGAGGCACTTTTAGGCAAAGCACTTTTAGCGTTGGGAAAGATCTCTTTCTGAAGGGCTGTTGAGTCCAAACTCTACAAAAAAAGGTTCTAATAAGAATGCAAAACAATTCCTATAATATTAACATCTTCTCTATCTCAACATGTAAATCGTTGAAGATGATCCTTTCATCTACAAGGTACGTACTTCAGCCTATGGTGTTGTGTCGCTTGCTCCTCGAGCGGGGGCCAAGGAGACTTTTCACGGAGGTTTCCTCGTTACTCAAAGGAGACGGAATCAAGAGTCGGGGGCTTCTTCCTATCCTTCTCGGAGACAAGTTGGCTTGCTCTAGAACCCGGAACTGAAGCTCTGAAGGATAATCCCTCATGCAACCTATTCGCGGTCCAGCTCCCGTTGTCCACCTGCTGGTTAAATGCTGCGCCAACTGGTATGACTTCATTCCCTTGTGTGAATCAATCCTCTGCATGATCGTTTCCTTTGGCACTGGCTTTTCATCTTCTTCAAATTGATCTTCTTCGAACAAGTTCAGTTTAGGGACCATGAAGTCTTCCTCTGTCAGGACTGATTCTTCAGCTGTTTCGTAACCATCATCCGAGGCAGAGTCTGGAAAGTATTCGCGACAGGTTATTGGTATTCCGTCCTTCAAAATGTCAAAGGCATCGTTCCTTTGTGGTATTTCGAGTTTGGCTATCTTTGAGCAGAATCTTTCAGGTAATCTTGACAGAATAGGATTGGGATTTTCTGCTGAGTTAGACTCCTCATTTCTTGAGTCAGTGTTATCTTGCTCTGTGCCTTCGTCTTTTGTTGTTGTGGTTTCTTTTGGTTTTCTTGGGCTGTTTCGGATGTTGCTGCTCTTCTTTGTACAGCCTCCTTCTTCGTCATCAGCTGGACTTCTCTGCAAATTGAAAGAGAATACTTCTTTAGTGAATGCCCTATACTACTACATAAACTCATCTTCTGAAATTGTAGAAGATAATTTCTCGAACTAAAACAATCGAAGTTTGGGGTGTACACATACATTAACATTTGTGAGATCTACGTCGTGTTCCATGAGGAACATTATAAATTCCTGGAAGTTTTCTTCCGTGGGGAGATAATGCCCACTGTGAGGCCAAACTGACTGTTGACATAAACCGAGAAAGAAAAACGAGATGATTAGTATTGTGTTAAACATAATCTCATTGGCAGTATAAAGGATTCGATCATTTATACCTTCAGAATTCCTTGTTCCACTACTAATCTTCCAGCAGAAAGAGTGGCTCCGCCTGCCAAGAAACTCGAATGTTGAAACGTCCCCTTGCTCTTCTGTCCAACATACAAGGTCTTGGATGTGCTAAGCACAAATATCCACTTTGTTTCTTTAGGTTCTGATGTATCAAGAAAGTTTCCACTCTGCTTGTACATGAACTTCCCATCCTGCACTACAACTTCATAAGCCTCCCTTTCGGTCTGCAAAATGAAAGAAATCTTTGTCAGTAATTCGGTTCTCTTTGAAGGTCTACCATTAAATTGAAACCTTGGTGAATAAGTATGGACTGTTTCAAATTCCTACACAGAGAACTTAAAACGGAAAATCTTGACTGATGATAACGCTCACCGGGCCAAGATACTTGATACATTGCGCTTGAAGCTTCGACCTAGGGCATGTTTCATGGTTTAATTCTCTTCCATCTCCTATATCAAGCCTGCATTTTTAAGAAACAAACTTTCGTAACTACGAAATAGATGCTATACAATGTTCTTGGTTGTGATCATTATATGATTTCCCAGATTATTTACTTACCAATAGAAGAATGGCTGTTTACTTTCGCAATGGAGCCATCGTGCATAGTAAAAGTGAAGATTATGGCCATAGCGATGTCTTGGATCAATCTGTTAGGAGGAAGGAATAGGAGTGAGAATATCCGTAATGAAATCTAGTAGAGTGATTGTAAGATATAGAACTTACTGCCTCAAGCCAATGCTGCAACGCAAGTTTACGCGCCCTTTTATCCTTTGACAAACCTTTTCCCACCTTCAAAAGAGTTGCAGCAACAAAAATTAGAGCCGTAATTTTACAGTACATAATGCAAGGTCACGTAGCTTTAATACTAACTTACCTTGGCAGCTTTAGTTCTTGCCCGAGACCAGCGAGAAACAGCTGTCTCAGGTTTCTGAATGTCGAAAAATGATATAGAGCTCTGCCTTAGTTCAGCAAAATCGAGCACCTTCCACCTACAAATCGAACCATAATAATATAAATCTAGGCGTAAAAAAAAATTTCCATTTCCTTTCATGCCGAAAAAATGGATGTCACAGCTCTTCAAGTTGCAAGTACACATGAATCAAAGCATACCATCTCTGCTCCACAAGAATTGCACAATCCGCAAGCTGTCTTCTGGTGCGAAAACTCTTATAAACTTTCTGCAGCTTCAATGCAGCCTGGTATTTGGGCTCCTTTAATGAGTTCTCGGATGTCTGCTGTTTCTCTCCAATACCGCTTTCTGCTCTAGCAGACACATTGTGTTCCATATCCCTGGAAGGTGAGTTCGCTGAAATGGCGTCTAATTCCATCTCCTTCAAGCTAAGTGGTTCTTCAAAGTTCATCTTTACCGAACCAGGTGATTTCATGGTTGTCGTTGGTTCTGAACCACAGCAGGTGTTGGAGCTCAATGACTGCAATGGTTTCCTCTCTTCTTTCGTAAGACTAACTGGACTTACATGAACAGCTCCACAATGACTATCCAAATCATCAAAATCTGCAAGTGGGCAGGATACTGGAAACCCCATTGACCACCAAGGAATTTATAGATATATAAATTATGCTACAAATAACCAAGATCTGTATCAACAAGATCTATGGGGTCCCTATACCTGCAAAAAATGAACAAATGTACAGAATTAGTTATAAAAACGTTACAGCATACGTAGTAATATCATGGCTCATTTCATTCCCAGGATTGGATTGGACTGGATAACTCATAAAATTCAAGGTATAGTGAAGGCAAAGGTGAATGATTTCCATTTTGAGGGGATTACACATAAACAAAACATATCGCTTCTGATCATGCTATTTTGTGGCGATTAGAAGACGTAAGTTTTCTTCATGAGTAATTTATTCTCTACCTTCAAGTTGGATAAATTATTTTTTGTTCAACATCCAATCCTAAGCACCAGACGAGCCCGTGTTTAAACATTCAGGAATGGAGTTCTACCATTCTATACATTGATGGAGACATCCATCTCCTCCTTATTCCTGCTTTTCTACAAGAAATCCTAACATGGTACCTCAAAAGCCATTTTTACAACCTCCGTGCAAATAGCAAAAGGAGGATTTAAATCCATCAAACAACCAATTCCATATTATGTAACTCCCATTGCAATTTTTCGAAAAACAAATTAAGAATTACGCACTCAATAATGAAGGGTAAAAAATAAGCGTTTACCTTAATCAGACAGAGAGTCAAAACGAGAGATGACACTGATTTAAGACAAAGAATGAGGAGAGAGAAGCAAAGAAGGGTAGAGAGAGAAAGATGGAGGAGAGTGAGAGGGAGAGAGAGAGAGAGAGAGAGAGAGAGAGAGAGAGAGAGAGAGAAGAAATGGACATGCAAATGGCAGGTAATGATGAGAGAGAGAGCGGGAAATATGGGAAGTTGAAAGTTGAAAGTTGAATGGGGTTCTATTTTGTTAAGCTTCGAGCTTAATGTACCTTCGTTTTCTTCTGTTTCTGGCTTAACACAGCACCTATACGTTGGCTATATGCTATTCTTGCAATGCAACAATTATATATAGAAAGCTTGGAGTTAGAGAGAGAGAGAGAGAGAGGGAGTCAGTCATAATTGAAGTATGTTCTCCACACATGTGGTATTGACCACATAAGGAAGTTTACCTACTTATAATATATTTGAGGAAAATAGTGCAATCCAATGTAGTCATTTATATGTGTTGAACAAATAGACAATGTTAATACGAATAATATAGTCTTGACGAACTATCTATCTATTAAATGCATATAAATGATTAAACGATCTTTGATTTGATTAATTTTATAGTGATCTTTAAATGATGATTAAGAAAATGAATGATTTTCAATTATGAAATTCTATAAAAAAAAATGCATTAATAGCAAGGACCGAACAAGGTGGTGCACCCCATAGGTTCAGCGCACGTACAAATCCTATTCTCCATACTTTAATTAGATTAGTATCAAGATTTTAGAGTGACGGCCAACTGTCTGTTACTATTCACATCAATAGTGTCCCCACAAGTGACGGGTAGTACGGGTCTTGTTGTAACTAGAAGTAGAATAGTTTCATATAAGTATTATTTGATTTTCAATTTATCAACAAGGAATTCATGTACCTTAATGACTATATTTTTTTTTATTACAACAATATATTTATACTAAAGGGTCGGAGATGTGGGTTCGACGACCTAATTGGTCAGCCATAATAATTATTTGTCAAATGCTCCATTCATGGGTGTTGAACTCAAGATATCTCACTTACAAATAGGGAAAATATTATTAGACGTAGTGCTAAGTGAATATACTTCACCACTATAAATTATAGATTTCTATGTGGATATTGTGTAAAATGAAAGATATTAGGGGAAGACCTTCCACTCATTTTTTTTCTAATATAAACACCACAAACACATATATCTTATTTTGTTGTGACGGAAAATAAGCTTGTGTTTCTTTCCTAACACGAAAAGGTGCACACACCACAAGTTTTAGAGGATAATTATTAAGTACCCTGTCTTGGAGTTTAGGGTTTGTAACTTATGATTCAAACTAAATTCGGTTATGACATGAGTTATCATTTACCAAAACCTACACCCTTCATAAAAGCTAACTAATCTCACTCTAACTATGCAATTAGTTGTGGATGTTAAAATTTTCCCCATATCTTTTCTTTGATTTTCATCTAGGTTTCTTTGATTTTACATCTTAGTTGAAGCTAAAAAAAAAATCACTAAATCGTAACATTAGTCACAACTACTTTTGATTTTGAAAAATATATAACTAAGTTTACTTGTCTGAGTATTTGGGGTCACTTTTTGTTGGAGGGAAGCTTCTCTGTGGTACTTCCAAGTTATTCCACAAAAGTCTGCTGGATCTGAGCCTGGAATATGAGATGTTTGACTCAACAAATACTATCCTATCGATATACAAAGCTGCTCCCACTTTCTAAAATGATCAGTCGAATTGACTAATACATTTTTTTGAAACTTAATTTCTTTAATTTTGTAGACATAATAGATATTACAAACTGTGTTTAAAAAGTGCGCTGTGATATAAACAACTGACATGTGATGAAATAGTGAGCTGTCATGAACAATTGACACTTAATGAAATAGTGACATGAGAGAATCTCTTCAAATAATAAGTACAAATGATCAGATACGTTTGAATTAAAGATCAAGAATTCAATTCCCTATCACTGTAATCTAAAAATTTTTGTCAATCATGCGAATTCAATTCCTTTTGAGTTGTTAGCTGCATGGAAACTTCTTTGGTAGTATAATAAGCTACAAAAATCACCTCTACTCTGTTGGGGCCAACTTTGAGATTTTTAATTTTATTAGGTTCTTGTATATATATACATGAGATCATATTTTAGAGTCCTTATGCACACAATGACACCTATTGCACATGTCAAAAGTGCGTACTGACATAGTAAAATAGTGATATGAGAAAATCTTTGTACATAGTGAATACAATTAACAAAATAAGTTAGAATTAAGGAGTTAAAAAGTCAATTTCTTGTCATAATAACCTAAGAAATATTTTCCATCGTGCGAATACCACTCATTCGTACATGATCGGCATTAGCTAATAATTATGATTAGAGTGGCAAAAGAAAAAACCATTCACTCCTTTAACATAGACACCTAAAGATAGGTCATTTGATTCAACATTTGGTTGTGGTTGATCCAACATGTGAAACTTTCTTATATTTCTCACACTTCCATTAAAACGAGGGCTGCGGAAGAACACATTAATGTGTAAAGCAACTAATTTTCCACCAAAAGTCATGTTTACGCAATAAAATACGACCCTGTTTTCCTAACTTCTTAAATGCATAAAAAGATTTATATGACACGAATAAGCATAGCTAAATTTTTGTGTGCACCTATGTCAGTTAAGTTGTCTCATCACTTTGCAAGTTTATTCTTGCTCACTATTCTAACTCTGAGAAGTCTCAGCACTATTTATGTGATTTAGGCTTTTAACTGCTTTTGTGCCCCTTATAACTATATAATCTAATCTCACATTTATAAAATTCAGAAAAACCATAATATAATCTAAATCTAATCCATATAAACTTTATTTTAAGAGAAAGACTTGTATAAAATAAGTTTATTGTCACTTGACATTTTTAACTAATAATATATTTTTGTATGCTGATTTTCTTTTATTAATAAATGTATTACTAATGTGAAACGTCACGTGACGGGAAACATGTTTTATATAAATTAATCTCCTAGGTCGGTGTTTTATAATTTTTCGCTTGTTTGTGTTGCGACAAGAAATAAACTCTCGAATGTGTTTCAAGCAAAGAGTACAGCTGTGTACCATCACTGTACGGCCTACCAGACCAATAGGATTTGTTTGTATTAAGATTAGATTCGACTCTACGACCAACAGCTCTAGCTGTAGGCTGTAGCTTTCTGCAAAAGCACTTTTTTTATTCTGACCGAAGCGAATGACCAAGGTGTCTCGAACGTGCGGTTTTTTTTTTTTTGGTCCAACGCGATTGCTTTTGTAAATCACCGACGTAACAACTCACACACTCGTATATAGGGGTGGTTCGGTATGGGATCCCATACCGAAACCATTGTCCCGATTCCCAAACCGAAATTTTTGGGAATCCCAAATTCAATCCCAATCCCAAACCAAATTTTCAGGAATCCCAATTTTAGGGAATCCCAAAATAATTTCGGGATTTCGGGACAAATCGGGAATCCCGAAATGCTTTTGGGCTTTTGAACTAAAATTTGACATATTATGTTTTTGGGCTAAAATTTGACATATTATAAAGTAATAAATAAAGTAACAAACTCAAAAGCAAAAATAGTAGTTACAAGCCAAGGTTTATAAATAAAGTAACAAACCCAAAATCAAAAAAATTAGTTATGAGCCAAAGTTTCAATAATTAAGTTACAAACCAAAAGCTAAAAAGCAAAGCTTAAAGTCTATAAATATTGTTGGCCTCTTCGGCCCCTTCGTCCCCTTGATCTTGTTGATGCTTGTGGTTGCTCCCTTCTTGTTGGTAATTGTACTCTTCCCCTTGATGTTGATGGTTGAGCCCTTCCCCTTGCAATGGGTGGTCGTGGAGGTAGTGATTGATTTTGACGTTGTTGAACTTCAACTTGGAGTGGTCGAGGAGGTGGAGGTGGCATTTCATTTTCTTGTGTTGTATTCTCCTCACCTCCCAAATTAGCCGTGCCTAAAACAATAAACCACAAATCATTTACATTGAATTATAGTCTAATAGATAATAAATACTAAGAAAATAAAAGAGGATATACGAAGCACAACAAGGGAATCAAACTTTTGTGCCAACCACTCGGTTTTTTTACCATTGTAGATTCAAGGGCTACCAAAACAGGTTATGTGTGTATGCCTAACTATCTTTATAATAAATATATGTTTTTTTTGTTACAACTAATAAATAATGAATAATTCAAATACAAACTTTTCATATCACTAACTATTAGTACTAGTTAGAACTTAAACTACATCAAATATTAAGGTGCATCAATTATAACTATCAGTATACCCTTTATTAACCTCCCTATAGTGAATTACACCACATCAGTTATATTAATTAGTTTTATTAATGTACTAGTTTATCAATTAACAATATGCATGCACAATATTAAGGTACTAGTGTAATATATGTATACTGATATATATAATCAAACTTTTCTAAGTCATCTAACCTAAAAACAAATGAACGGCACAGATTAAATCTAAAACAATGAACGGTTCAAATAATTCTCTTATAATAAAAAAATAATATATATATAATATTTATTTCAATTCGGTATGGGAATACCGAAAAAATGGAGATGGAATACCGAATCCCATACCGAAAATTTCGGTTTGGTTCGGGATTACATACCGAAAATTTCGGGAATTTTGGTTTGGGATTTTTTTGGTTTGGGATCGGGATTTTTTCGGTTTGGTTTGGGATTTTTGGGATTTTTTTCCAGCCCTACTCGTATATGCGTAGTAGTATTTGATAAACCAATTAACGAAATTATTTTAAGAAAAAATTAGTATTCGGTCTTTAATTTTTAATGTTTATTGATTAAGACCTTATTAGTTTTTAGATTTTGATCAAAGTCACATAACATTAATGTATTAATGAATTAAATGTCATTTACATAATTTTCTAAAATAAAAATTAGTAATTAATTTAGGGTTTTAATACTCACATCATTATTAAATTCCTAATTAATTTTCAATTCAAAACATTTCCAAAATATAAAAAATAAAATTAGAATAAGTTTGTACCCAATAATTTTTTTTATAAAAATTTCAACTTTTTAATCTTATATGTACCATTCATAAATTATTCAATTTTTTTCTAATCTTAAATGTACTCATTCTGAAATATATCAATTTATTATCTGCAAAATGTACCTTTTTTTAATATAAAATGTACCTATTTTAATATAAAATTCAATCAATCTTTTTTCTAATCCATTTTTTAAACTTATATGAGTACATTCTTTGATTTGAGAATGTATCCATGTTAAATTCAATAGAAGAAATTTAATAATGTTACCAAGCCCAATTTATATATATATATATATATATTTGTTTTGAAAAATGTACCCATGTTTGGTGCAATAATTTTTTGGCTAGTTTTGATGAACGTACCCGTGTACACACACACACACACAAAATATATTGGAGAACATAATTTATCTTTAATATTTTTTTATCCCATAAATTATGGGTTTTATTTAAAATTTCATTAATATAAATAACTATAAATTTCATTTTCAATTTTAAAAATTAGAAATACTTTATTACATTAATGTCAGAGACTTCGATCAAAAACTGAAAACCACAAAGGTTTTAGTCAAAGAACATTGATAATTAGAAACCACATCCAAAGCCTCCCTTATTTTAATATGCATAGCATTGAATGATATGAAAATGAATAATTGAGATTAAAAGTAAACGGTTTAAATAGTTATGAAAATTAAGCCTAACGGCTCAAACATTCATATCATTGAATGATATGTAGCATTGGAATCACACTCACAAATCAAAGAAGAAAAAAAATATGGACTTGGAAATTTCAAGAGGAAGCTTGTAATCTGGTTAAGTTGATTAATCAGCATCTGAGTACACATATGACATGATTAATGGTCCTTCTCTTTTAGCAATTTTATTGTCAGTAAAATTTTACACTAAAGAGTGTTAGATTCGGACTAAACCACACGAAGAACCAGCCATAATAAATATTTTTTTATCAAACTCGCAATCCACAGAATTCAAACTTAAAATATTTCACTTATAAGTGAAAATAAATAACACTAGACAATACTACGAAGTGCTTTTGTTTTTCTAATGCAAGCGATCTACAAGTTCAAAATTAAGTACTCTTAGCTGCTTGAGCAATCTATTCTTTGTTGCACCTCCTACAACTTTTTTATTTCATTTATTCATTCTACACATAACGGAAGACATAACATAAAGACGAGCGCAATGGCATTCTAGAATTCATATAGCCAACCCGATATAGTGTGATCAGGCTTTGTTGTATCCATTCTGCACATAAGTTATCTGAAGTTAATGACATATGGATTTATGACTTCTTATGCCAATATTTACAATTTGACAGGATACAGATTCAGAAAATACTGACCGAAGTTGCTAGATGAAAGGGAAAAGGATGTACTCGGCATAGAAGAGATTCCAAATAAATCTGTAGTAGTTGGCACTTGCTTCCTGCAGAATATGCATTCAAACTTGCACAATCAGATGATGAACTAAACATTCTCTATCACGTTATCGGAATATTAAACATCGCAAAATAGTCGTACTGAATTTCCGTATTCCAATTTGTAGTACTTGATTTCATTAGACCATTTACCTTGGTGTAATTCGCTTTCTCAAGCACCCAAGTCCACATAAGAATAAAGTATTATGTACGAGTTTAAGATTAGCCATAAGTTCATTCAATGTTTATTTATCTACGAAAGGGGCTACAGTGGTAATCGGAGAGGTAAGAAACCCAAGATACGAACCTGGAAAACTAAACTCAGTGCCAAGATTGCATGCATGGGTATCATTAAGCTACGTCTGAATGCCTGCACCACAAGTAACTCAAGGACTTGAAAATTTTTGGATCGAAGGACTTGAATGGCTATCTGTCCAAGTGCAAGGACTGCGCAATCATCTAAAGGTAAACTTCGAAGGGATGCATACTCACCTCCGGCATTAAACTTGCTGCGAATACGGAACCAACATAATTTAGCAGCAGAAGCCCAGAACCAAGGAACGCAATGTTTCTAACTCCAAGTTTTGTTGCAAACGTTGTTATTTCAAACCTGCAATCATCCTAATTCAAATGAGTATCTGATGACATCTGTAATATTAGGCTTCAAACAGAAAATATTGGCATATTTAAGCAAGAAAAGTAACAATATTAGTCAAGCATATTAAGAAAATTGAGAATTCACTAATTCAGCGACTAAGATCAACTATGCCAGTATGGGGTAGAGGGTCCAAGATATAATGTGTGGTTCGTGTGTAAAATTAGTCAGACGAGAAAAAAACAAAAGGAAAAAGGAGTAACATTAAAATCGTGAGGGCATGGTCGGGGTCCAAAGTAGACAATATCGTGCTACGGCGGAATCGAGCCCCGGATGTGGTGGAGCCCGGGTCGGGATGTGACAATTTAGTATCAGAGCCAATCCCTGGCTGGCAGAGTGCCGACGAGGACGTTGGGCCCCTAAGGGGGGTGGATTGTTAGATTCCACATCGCCCAGGGGAGAGGATCCTCTATGCCTTATATGTATATGCCCACCTCCATATATCACGAGGCATTTTGGGAACTCATTGGCTTCGGGTTCCATCGGAACTCGGAAGTTAAGCGAGTTTGGATTGGAGCAATCCCAGGATGGGTGATCCGTTGGGAAGTTGCTCGTGAGTTCCCAGAAACAAAACCGTGAGGATGTGGTCGGGGCCCAAAGCGGACAATATCGTGCTACGGCGGAGTCGAGCTCCGGATGTGGTGGAGCTTGGGTTGGTATGTGACAAAAACTAATAGCAAAGTTTGGAACTGTTTTTAACCTTTCAAAAGTAACTTGTATGGATAAAAAATTACGAGGAGCAAGTATCAAATGAGATATCAGCAGCCACAAAGTAATTAGTCCTACAACTCACTTGCGGTCCCCCTCTACATCCGGAAGATCTTTTGTTATCGCAATAACCAAAGCAAACAATGTTACAAAGGTAGTGATAAAAGCAACGGCCGAGCTGCAGATAGAATTTGAATTTCAGCATTAGTATGTACAGAGCTTAAATATCTGAAGTATACAGCGAGATTCACAAGAAAATGCAAGCTTATAAGTAAAAATCTTCAGTTGTTCGAGAAAGATTGCTTTCTGTTATCTGTCATAAGTCCATACTCAAGGGTCTAACTTCAACAACTCCTTTTCAATCATGTACTAGTCCAATCTAATTTTGGAATCACACCATTGGTCATACACTATGCTATGGTTTTATCTGTATCTACATGACACAACAAAAAAAGGGCAAGTAACACACCTCCACTCAAATTGAAGCCCAAGGGCAGCTCTAGTGGCATAATATACACCGAAATTGAAAAGGAAACCCCGTACCTGCGATAGTTATTTTGTTAATCTCTTGTGACATCCCCACTGCTGGAGAAACAAATGAAAAGATAATATTCATTTCACATATTAATACAAGAGATCACGGTAGCTATTTCCACAACACCATAAAAGCAACCACAAAGATCCTAACCCTTTTAAAACTCTTTACTTTTCAGGCTCCTTGCTAGTAAGTTGTTTAATTCAGACACATTAATTTTCAGACAGTCATATTAGTTAAAGCTATGCTAATTCAGCAAGAAAGGGTGTTACACTACAGTAGCATTAGATGCTTCAGCCATATAATAATGTCAAACTACTGTTTTGAGCATAATTTTCATACTTGGAAAATTGTTTTGTTTCACTTGGCTTCTAAAATAAATTACTCCCTTCTCTGTCACTCGCCACGGGCCTGCTACCCTCCCCTCTTTTTCCACAAATTAAAAATAAAAACTTAATATTAGCCTTTATCTTTATTTGGAGGTTTTAAGGATAGCCTATGAATTTCAAATTCCACATAATACAATATCAAACGATTGAATTCTGAGTCATACTAACTTTAGAATGGAGCCAAAACATCCAAAAGGAGCACATCATTGTATTGTTAGAATTAGAGAAGGTGTGAAAATTAGCAATACCGAGGCAATTATAAGAAAAGCTGCAACAGGAAATCTTTTCATTCTAAGCGGAGGAACAGAATATATGGTGCCAAGGAAAAGACCAATACAGTAGAGAGAAGTAATGAATGGCCCAGAGGTCAGTCCAACGATCAACAACCCAGTCACCGCAAAAAATACCACCAAGAGCCATGCTGATTTAACTGAAAGATCCCCAGCAGCGATAGGTAAATAAGGTTTGTTTACCCTGAAACACAATGTAAAACAGGCAGAATAAGTTCAAAGAAACTGACATGAAATAACTTTGATGAAAATGTCACACAGCAGGAGAACAGAATAGTTGACAGTTTAGCAAAAGGTCAAGATCATCTGGCTCTTCAAAGAGTAAACAACACTTTCTTAACAAGAGTCTCTAAGTCCGATGATTATATGCATCCACTTTAAATCTATGACGATTCAAGGCATCAATAGCATTCTGATAAGGGCCAACTTGTGCAGGATCTTCAAAAAAAATAACAATGACCATTTACCCTTTTGTCGTTGTTTGGAACTAATATTTCAAGTTAAGGTTGTATAAATGTGTGCAGCGTACTTGTCAATTTTGATATCGTAAATCTGATTGATGCCAACTCTATAACTATTCCCACATAGTAGAGCAAAAAGACCAGAGAATGCCTTAAACAGCAGAGACCACTTTATCAGATTGGAGTTCTCAATCAATGCTCTTGCCACCAAAGCACTGTGGACAAAACGAAAATGAAACTTGGTCAACTACAGCAGCACTGAGTTGGAACTTAAACTAGTTTACTAGCCAGTGTTCTCCGTGGTAATTTACTTACATAGACCCCAGAACTGTCCCATGTACGGTATGGGGCCTCATGAATCTCCAACAAGCATCTTTAAAATCTGAAACTTTGGTCAATACTGGATCAGATTCAGCAGCTCCAACTTGACTGCAGGCCTGGCCAGCATTCACTTTCACTTTAATGCCACGCTCGAGTCTTATAAACTGATAGACTATAGTCTATAGTGTAAAAAATTTGGATGCAACCATGCATATGGAACCAAACCAATTACTAAAAACATTCCAAATGAACAATCACCAAATTTCCATTTCTTCTACTTGCATTTTCTAGATTAAGAAAAATAGGTTCATCAACTATCCCAAGCTTCTGACCAGTTTTTGCTGCTTTGACATGTTCAATATTAAGACTTTTTTCTCTTTGACAATGCGATACTCTATTCAAACCACTAACCCACATCCGTGTTCAACATGGATTAACAAACAAGTCAAAACTTCCAGTTCTGCTAACACCCACAGCTACATTTACACGGATTAAACTTCCAAATATATATATATATATATATATATCTCTCTCTCTCTCTCACTAACTGGAGTAAAACTAAATAAACCCATCTGAAAAAAAAAAAAAAATCAAATCTTTGTTGTGAATTTTGAGTTTGGAATTGTTTAACAGCCACTGCCAAGAGAAACAGCCCAATTGGAGCAATTAAAACTTAAGAGTGGAGAAATGCAGCATACCCAGGTGGAATTTCGCCTCTTCTGGCGGCTAAGCAAGGATTTGGAGCTGCTTCTGGACACCCCAATTGAGTTCAACTTTGTCCTGCAGCTTGAGAGAAAAGCAACCGATTTTGTAGTGGTGGGCCGAACAGACATTGGAGGCAAAGAGGATGAGGTGCTGCAGTGAGGTGTTATAGCTGGGAACCGCAGAGAAGAAAGCTCCATGTCTGGGGAAAGAGAGAGAGAGGAGGGAGAGAGCAGGATGGGATCTCCCCAACGTGGCCTTTTGTTTTCAATGATTTTACTTTACTGTTAATTGTGATTAAAAAAAAAAAAAAAAAAAAAAAAGAAGTTTTCCGCTGCCGGGGTTCGAACCCGGAATCATAATATTTGATTTAACCATTGCTACAGCGGATGCTTTGTGAAAACTTGAGTATTAATAGCATACGAATATGCACAAATGCTCAACCTGCAAATCCCCCAACACCCCTGCACAAAAAAAGAAAGACTCCTCATCAATTGCAAGTGACATATAAGGGGCTGATGAATGCCTATTTAACTGAAAAATTATAGAGAAAATAGAAGAGGATTTGAAAATTTAGATAAACGAAAAATAACGAATGAATGACATGTCGTTTAAGAGCAAATGGAGATGCAGCGTATTGAACCCCGTACCTCTGCTGCATGCAAAGAGAGCTACATCCCCAAATTGGCATTTTTTTTTCCAATGGTTTTATTTAACTATTGCTTGTGGTTCGAACCAGGAATCAAAATCTATGGTTTAATCATTGCTACAATGGTTACTTCAACTTGAGGATTTAATTGTGTATAAATGTTTACAAATGCTTCACCTGTGAATGCCCCGGGACATATACAACAAAAATGAAAATCTCCCCCCTCAATTGCAAGTGACATATAAGGGGTTGTTGTGGGCATATTTAACTAAAAAATTATAGAGAAAGCAGGAGAGGACGTTGATAATTCATATATTTCATACGTCTATACCATCTATTTGTAGTCTTTTTGTGATGTTTTTGAGTGAAACTCGTTGTGTTTTACTCAATTTTGTGTTAGTGTTCAATTACGTGTACTTTAGGATCAATTTAAAGGCAAAAGAAGTGAAAACATATCATTTTTGGAGCTGACCCTTAGTCAAATGTGGAAAGAAGTTTGGTAGCCTATTTGAAGTCCAAATAAAGGTTGGTTGCCTGTTTTAAAGCCTAAATAAAGTTGTTAACTGTTTTGAAGTTCAAATAAATAATTCAAGATGAATCAGGCTTGTTAGAGCATTTCCAAATGCGATGTCAAATATAGTATGTTAAAAATTTATGTGAGCGTTAACGAAAAGGGCTTGGGCTAATTTTTATTTAATGAAGAACCACCCTAAACTATTATTTAATAAAAAGGGCTTAAGTTTTAATCATAAGGACATAAAACTTATCTTTCAGGCCCTATAAAAACTAAAACACACGGGCTCAACAAAAAGCCTAAACTAGATAACAATTAATATTCCAAAATTGCCCCTAACGTTGCCTAACCAAGGGTTGTTAGCCAAACTAAAAGTTACAATCCCAAAATCACTCCTCCCTCCAACGCCATTACTATCGGGATACCTACCCCTTCAAACCGCACCAAAAATTCGAAACCTCCATTGCTTGAAACCTCAAGTTGTCAACCAATTTCAACTTCAATTCAAGTTTTCAAACAATAATCTACACATCAAATCCGGAATTCCTCAACCCAAAAACTGCATTTGAAGACGGAAAGAAAAACTGAAAAAAGTCGAGATATATATTTGCAGAGTGCAAATTGGAGAGACAAAGGTAGGAACCTAGAAACAAGTTTTTAAAAATGCGCTGCTGACAATTATCATCAATCCTTGTAGAAAAGATGTGGAGTTGTTCTTGATGGAGAAATAGCATCTGTCTGTTTTAAGAACGGAAACTATGGTATGGCAACCAGTGGTGGAGTTATGTAGGAAGGAGGGGGCCGCCCCTTTGCTTGCCAAAAAACAAGCCTAGGAGTGAGTCCTAAGCCCCTCTGGTTCGGCTGGAAATAGGAAAACATGGTGGCTGACTATTCATGCTGCAGGCTGGGCCCGCACCTCCGGTTGCCGGAATTTTTTCCCAAAACTCGAATTTCGCCCCTCTGCTCTGGTGCTCTGTGCTATGTTTTGGTTCTCTGGCAGAAGAAATGGAGCACTTGGTTGAGGGAAGAGGGTTTCACTCAGTTTGTGGTTTTGGATTGGCGAAGAAAACAAAGTTCTTGCTTTGAAGCAATATTACTCTGGACGAGTGGCTTGGGTTTTTTCTAGGACATGTGGAAGGAAATGAGAGTACCAATAAATTAGGTCCATTAAACCTAACAAACAAGACAAAAGACGTGCAGAAATATCAATTGCTATCTAGTTTGCTTTCCAATACGAACTTTTGGATCTTGTGGACTTTTTCTTCTTAGGATTAATCATACACCATTAACCATACAAATGTAAATCTTGGGTGCACAACATCTGTAAGCAAAACCAAAGATTATCAGTCGATAGTTCGGTGTTTCTTGGCCAAATCTAAAAGTACACATATTTGTGCATTGTCAACATCTATTAAGAGGATGGGTTGACCGATATCTGAAGATTAGACCAACCATAGGTAATACATTCATGCATATGCTTCAAAAAGTTGAAGTTGTACCCGTTGATCATATTAATGGTTCACTAAAGTCCCCTTTAAATCAATTGAACACTAATTATTTTTAAAAATTTAACACTGACTATTTTGGAACTCAATGCGGATACTATTAATATTTCTTAAACTAAACATTGACTATTTCTAGAACTAAACACTGACTTTATTATACTGAACACTGGTACTATCACTATTTCTTAAACTGAACATAACTATTTCTCGAATTGAACGGGGGTACTATCAATATCTCAAACTAAAACTAGTACTACCACTATTTTTAAACTGAACACTAACTTTTACTTAAACTGACTATTTCTAAAACTAAACATGAACTATTTTTAAAACTGACTATTTATGAAATTGAATACGGATGCACTATTTATGAAACTGAACACAGGTATACTATTTATGAAACTGAACACATGTATACTATTTATGAAACCGAACACGGATACACTATTTCTGAAATTGAACACGGTTACACTATTTATGAAACTGAACACGGGTATACTATTTATGAAATTGAACACGAGTACACTATTTATGAAATTGAAAACGAGTAGATTATTTATGAAACTAAACGCGGGTACACTATTTATGAAACTGACTTTATGAAACAGAACACGTGTATACTATTTATGAAACTAAAAACGGGTATACTATTTATGAAACTGAACACACTATTTCTGAAACTGACTTTATGAAACAAAACACGGGTATACTATTTATGAAACTGAAAACGGGTACACTATTTATGAAACTGAACACACTATTTCTGAAACTGACTTTATGAAACAAAACACGGGTATACTATTTATGAAACTGAAAACGGGTACACTATTTATGAAACTGAACACACTATTTATGAAACTAAATACGGGAACATTATTTATGAAACTGAACACGAGTACACTGTTTATGAAACTGAACACGAATACACTATTTCTGAAACTGACTTTACAAAATTGAACACGAATACACTATTTATGAAATGACTATTTATGAAACTGAACACGAGTACACTATTTCCGAAACTGACTATTTTGGATCCCTTAATATAAAAACATTGAATTTCTGAATAATATAAAAAAAATATAAAAAAGGATAAGATTTAGGATCCCTTGACAAGATTAAACTAGTTAGAAAACACATGAGACCTAAAGAAAAACATTTAGATCCAGAGAGTCGTCAATTTGGTTGAAGGCTATACCTTAGCAGACGAAGTTGCAATTTTGTTTGCAACTTTGCATACATATACATACATGTTTCTCGTCATTTTGAACAGGCATGTTACATCATAAGTGGTCCAGCAGACAAAAAGAATGTGAAACCCCTATATAAACAAGCAACATTCGGCATGACCGTGAGAATTATTTGTAACGATCTCTATCCTTTACAAGCATCTTAATATGGTGATCATCTAATCATCCCATGTGTGTGTTAAGATAAAGAACAATGTAGTGATTATTCCATCATTCAATTTTACCGAATGTGAAAAGCGAGATTATGTTTAGCTGTGTCAATAGAAGTAATGGTGTGTTAAGATAAAGAACAATGTAGTGATTATTCCATCATTCAATTTTATCGAATGTGAAAAGCGAGATTATGTTTAGCCAATGCAATAGAAGTAGAATTGATCCATACGAAATATATCCATGGGTGTACAACTACAATTTTTCAAGATCAAAGGACTACATAGTCTACAACTTTTAGGTCAATATGCCACATCTTCTTCAGCCATAGTCGTAAAACAAGAACATTGAATGATTTAATGAGTTCAAGTTATACTCTTACACGAACTTTAGATCCAAGGTTAACCAAAGTTCTAAGACTGGTCACACCTATGTTTCTCCAAATTCTATATGTTCTTCTGCAAATCCGAGTTTTAATTTAAATAAAGTCAAGAAAACACCTTCAACAACCAAAAAACACTAAATGGGATTGCATATCCAGATTGTCGAATTAAAAAAAAAACACACACACACACACACACACACATTCGGATATGAGCAATTAAATTTGTTGCAATTGTAGTTTTGAGAGAGGGTCTATGAAATGGTACCGTTGAGTAAAGGCGCAAACGAGGTCTGGTTTGAGGTGTTCGTCGACGAATTCTTTGAATTTCTGAATTTTGTGGCGGTAGATGTCCACGAACCCTAGATTAGATTAGATTAAAATTCGACACCACAAACCTTATCCAACTCTAATGTCCTCTGAATATCGACTTCCATCGGCCAGGCAATCAATATTGGTCACTCTGTACTGCCTTGCCGCCGAGATGGAGACGGCTCAAAATGAAGTTTGGGGGTCTGATATGTGGTTTTTGCATAGTGGCAGAGATGGAGCTGCAATGCAAGATTAAAAAGAAAAAATGGAAGGTTTTGAATGTCGGGAAGAAATGGGGGAGGGAGACAAAATAGCAGAAAGAACCATAAACAAAGAAATATATTAAACGGACAAAAGTTTACCATCATGGGCAAAATTGGAAATTCAATATTAGGGCCATTTAAATTGGACCGGTTTATTGTTGGGCTTTGTCCTAACCATTAAATAAAGTTTCTACATGGCTTTCGGTTAAAATTCAAAGTTTTGAAACCTTTTTCATTAGTTTTCTTAAATTTATTTGACGGCTGATGTGGTAAATTGAATACCAGTGCTAAATTCTCTTCTTTTCCAATGGATATGTCAAATATTTATTTTATTATTTTATTGGACCTAGAGTTACATTAACTATTAAAAAAATAATGAAAATTAGTTTTAATTTTTTTTCTATTCGTTGTTAATGGGACACATGCATTAAAAATTAAACTAAATATATTTAACTTCTTTATTTGCTGTAAAAAAATACAACTAGAAAGCAAAAAGACATATACGGGGTTGTTGAACACCTATTTAATTGAAGAAATGTAAAGAGAGATAAAGAGAGAGGACTTGGAAACTGAGACACAAGAAAAACAACGGATGAACGATTTGTCGTTTACGAACCAAAATAAAAGAAAGAATGAAAAATGGTGAGGCAGGTTATCGAATCCCGTGCCTCTCACTAGCATAGCAAGCAACATCCCCAACTTGGCATTTTGTTTTCAATGGTATTATTTAATTCCTTGCGATAAAAAAGGAAGAGAAAAAAAAAATCTTCCGCTTGAAGGGTTTGAACTCAGAATCATAAACTTTGATTTAATCATTGCTACAACGAATACTTTATGACAACTTGAGGATTTATTTGTATATAAATGTTTACAAATGCTTGACCTGCAAATGCCCCGAGACCACTTTACAAGAAAAGAAAAACCCACCCCTCAATTGCATTTGACATTTAAGAGGATGTTGTTCGCTTATTTCACTTAAGAATTATGGAGATGCATGTTATCGAAACCCGAACGTCTCGAATACATAGCGAGCTAAATCCCCAACCTGGCATTTTGTTTTCAACAGTTTTATTTAGGAATTCGTTGCGATAAAAAAGAACAGAACAAATATCTTCCGCTGCAAGAGTTCGAACCCGAAATCATAAACTTTGATTTAACCATTGCCACAGTCGACTGTTAGTGACAACCTGAGGAGTTAATTGTATATAAATGTTCACAAATTCTTGACCTGCATACGCCTCGAGACAACTTTACAAAAAAAATTGCATTTAACATATAAGAGACTGTTGTAGGCCTATTTAATTGAAGAGTCAATGAGAGAGTTATCTCAACAAAATGAGAGAGAGAGAGATCAGGAGAGGACTTAGAAACTGAGACAAAACAAAAACAGTAGACGAACGACATGTCATTTAAGAACCAAAATAATAGAAAGAAGGAAAAATGGTGATGTAGATTATCAAATCCCGCGCCTCCCACTTGCACAGGGAGCAACATCCCCCACCTGGCATTGTGTTTTCAACGGTTTTATTTAACTATTCCTTGCAATGAAAAGAAAAAAAAAAAGGATCCTTGTTGGAGCGTAAAATTTCACTGTATGGGTTTGAACTTGGAATATTAACTTTGATTTAACCGTTACTACAACGGATGCTTTGTGACAACTTGAGGAATTAATTATATATAAATGTTTACAAATGCTTGACCTGCAAATGCCTCGAGACAACTTTACAAAAAAAATTGTATTTGACAATTAATAGTATGTTGTTCACCTATTTGACTGAAGAATTATAGAGAGAGCATGAGAGAGAACTTGGAAAATGAGATACTTGAAAAGAGCATATGAACATGTCATTTAAGAAGAAAAATAAAAGGAAAAATGAAAAATGGAGATTCTGGTTATCAAACCCTGTACTACTCGTGTGCATAGCGAGATACATCCCCAACTTGGCATTTTAATTTCAACGGTTTTAATTAACTATTCCTTGTGATAAATGAGGAAGAAAAAAAAAAAGTTCCTTCACTGCCATGATTTGAACCCGGATTCAAAAACTTTGATTTAACCATTGCTACAATGGATGTTTGTGAGAACTTGATGATTTAACTGTATATAAATGTATACAAATGACTGGCTTGCAAATCCCCCAAGACCCCTATAACATAAAAAGAAAACCCACCCCTCAATTGCAAGTGACATATAAGGGGGCTATTGTAGACTTATTTTAATGAGAGAGAGTTAGCTCAACAAAATGAGAGAG